TAGCGATGCCCTTTGCTGCTAGTAGCGTCCTCTTGTTCCTATTCCTTCTTGTTTCTTGTTGCTCAAGACTGTAGCACTACGAGGTCCTACTAGTCACAATCGCCAAGAATCCATTTACAGTATATAGTTCTGGCAGCATACGCAGGGCACGGCGCCATGAGTACTTAATTAGAAACACACATTACGGATCTTGAAAAGCACCTAAATACCCTTAACAAGAATAGTTGCCACTGCAACATTATTTTGAAACCAAGGTAGTATATATTGCTTGTTTTTGTTGTGTTGCCTTGGCTGTCCTAGTTTGGCATGACTGCACATTGCTGAAGATCTTATTTTTGTTGTGCGCTGAAGTAAAGGAGGTTTGAAGCAGACTTGCATCATCCCCCCTTTGTGAGAATAGCTATTAGGATAAGCCGTCGCGCTCAGGTTCAACTAAGTATATAGAAAAATGAAGAAATATATAAGTGCAGGCCCTCGGTTGCTTCTTTTTTTGGGTGAAAGGAATCATGTTTGCAACAGTAACAAGAAGCTAATAGTAACAAGTGCATCGCTTCTAGTAACAAATGCCTTACTAGTAGTAACAAGGACGCCCCTAGTAGCGTTCTGTTTCAGTGCCAACTGCAGGACTTTGACTTATTTGATGAGTTGGATCGGATGAGGCCTCGACTGAGTTTCAAGGCAGGCAACAGGGTCAATTGGGAAGCTGGGTGCCCTTCAAAAAAGCTTCTTTGCATGCCAGTGAACGCGGTGTAGCAGAACTTTGTGCACTGGTGCACCCATTCTAGAATCTTGCTCATGACTCATAACTCCAACACCCGGGTTTGGGTCCAGGTTGAGGACGACGACTTGGAGAACTATCAGGTTCGCAAAGTCTTGAGCACGTTTTATATTTATGGACATATGTGTACTATAGAATGGCAGCAAAACGAGACCATTCTATACACGAAGATCATAATAGGGGATGGCTTGCAAGATGGCTGTGGGTTGTGTACTGGGTTGTGTTTTTTGTTGGGCGACATGAGAAAGCATGCAAGGCATTTTCCACCTTGGGTACTGGTGCACGATTGATTTCACGATTTGCTGTTTTCTGTAAGTCAGATCTCAGAAGTAAAGGTTTGGTGAGATCACACTCGAACAACGTCTACGGCAGCAGGACGAACTGCCTAGTCTAATAGTTTTGACATGTTTTGACATACTGTACATGTATGATATGCAGCCCACAACCTCCCAGGTGCACCAGGCAAGTACCATCTTTGATTTCTTGACAAGCAAGGTGGAGAGAACGAATATCCAGAGCCGTTTGACTGCAAGAGCGGTTGCACAGGATTGCTTGAAAAGCCACTTAAAGCAATCAACAGACATTGGTCTTTGGCAGAGGCTTTGTGTGAGTTTTAGTCCAAAGAAGTTGTCCTGATTCCTACCTCTGCTTCCAAGGCTTTTTGGAGTTGAAGGACAAGCGCTTTGGCAGTATTTGTCGGCTTGAACACAAACAGAATTAGCTGCAGAACCGGAGGGCAGATTCCAAATGTATCCTAAAACTCTCAATGTCAACACCTTCATGGCCAACAACAGCTTAGAAGTTCAGATGGGTGCCGGGTTGCCCGTTGAGAACAGGAGAATGGGACAATATGGGACAATCGCAACAGAGAATCATGGAACAATGGCACTGTATTTTCTTTCCGATCTGACAAGGACAATAGCAATGGCCTCCAACCTAAGAGCAAGGGCCTCTACTCTGTGGGCAATGCATCCACGTGAAATGGCCACTCCCAGGCCCGAAGATGGTCGCAGGCGTGCATCCACTTGTTCGACCTGCGCCACCTTGGCAGAGGCACGCAAGAAGCGACTGCGAAGCGACTGCGAAGCTCCATGTGAAGTTTTTTGAAGTCTCAAAGACGGCTGTCCTGGCTTGGCACAGTTGGGCAATCTCATCATAGTCAAATGACAAATGTAATTCTTCAGTTAGTTAGGCGAAAGCAGAATGTTCTGGGAATTGCCGTATACGTATATATATATATATGTTGTAACAGTTGTAAGTGAATTTGTCAATGCAGTGCTAGAGAATCTTTTCGGCCGATTGCGTAGGTTCCACGGCTGTCTCCTTCTCCAAAAATTTTGGAAGAAGGTCCACTGCATCCTAGTATCCGCATCAGAGGGGTCGCTTAGTGCGGATCCTCAGCTGGAAAGTTCATTGATCGAATCTCGCTCTTTCAAGAGATGCAGATTGGTGAACAGATGAGACTTGTTATGCGTGATCAATAGTTGGTGATTGCCCGTGCAGTCCAGTTGTGCCAATGTAAGAAACTGCACTCTTTGAAGATGCAGTTTTGCGCATGCGAGTATCCAAGATACTGGCCCTCTGTAGAATGATAAGACAAGAATTATTGAGTTCGTGATGCAATATGTTGCTTTCAATGTGACAGGAACGGACATGATTAGACACAGTAAATAGTGCAGTATATCAATGTATATGTTTGATTTGCTTGCAAGTTTCATGACGTTCGTACGGGTTTGATGCTTGTATTTGGAGCAAGTCTCAGGTACTGGCGAGGCCTAGCCGGTGACCTGCTGCCTGTGTTTTGACCAGATTCGGTGACCTGTGCTGTTCCAATCAGAAAGACAATAGGCATTTGCGGATGCTGAATTGGGATGTTTCAAACATTGGAAGTGTAATCTCTGACAGAAGTGCGTCAAGTTCATTCTAAGCCTAAGCCTATGAAAACCAGTTCGAGCTGGGTTACATCAAGGGATGAATCTTTGGATATGTTTCGTACAGTGTTTCACTTTTTAACTACAATATAACCCACTCATCCAGTGGAAAGCTGCTAAGCTGCTGTCGTAACAACCAGCAATGCCGCAAAGTGATAAAGACCACGCTTTGCAGGCATCGAACTACGACAATGACGCCAGGTTCTTCAAAGTGGATTTTGGCTGATGTGAGTAACGTGAGTTGCACATGTTCCTGGAAATTCCACACTTAAAGCTCCGGAAGCTCTGGACAAGCGTGTTCCACTTTGACGAGCCTCGGGTAGCCACCGGAAGGGCAACACTGGAGAGCTCAGAAGAGGTGAGTTGCAACCTGTTTGAGCCTTCAGCGCGTTCATATATTGCTGAACTATGGCAATGGGTTCAAACTGACGGACATCTCCTTTCTCCTGAAACTGATGTCCTAGTTTAGGGGCACATTCCAAAGTTGGAAATGTCACCGACCCGTTTGCCAGAAAAAGCACTGGCCAAATGGCGAGGCACAGTGAGGTCCTCACAAGTCATGACACAAATATGACGAATATTGACAAATTATACACGTAAATCCTTAAAAATGTATACAATATATGATACTGAAACGTCAGATGAAATCCTACCACTTATGCTGTTTCACATATGACTTTTGCACTTTCCCACCAATGTCTCCACACATCCAACGCTCAACCTTTGAAAGCATCCTGCGACGTGCAGCTTGTCGTACAATGAGGACCAGATGCAAGTTGAGCCAATTTTCGCACAAGGCTGTGTCAATCTTCCGCCCTTGGCACCTTTTAATTCAGACGAAGCTTTCCATTGCAGAGGTTGCTGGTACAGGCCATCAAGCAACTGGTGTCTGCGGAAGATCTTATCATCTACCATGCTAAGATCTGTGCATGTTGCAGCAACTGTAGAAGTGTTGTTTGAACTTGATTGCTGTGAACTTTGTTACCTGGCAACTGGCTGGACTTTGGTCCAGGGACAGGCAGGGGACGCCACTGCACCAAACGGGGGCCGATCCTCTTGGTTCGGGTTTCCCATCTTCCAGGTTGAGCTGAACCCAGCCCCTCCTTTGCATGGAGGCACCAGAGTTTCCGCTCAGCAAGTCGAGTGTGTCAAAGTGATCTGGAAAGTGTGTGTCACAGCACCGAGGGCCTAGAATGAGCCTCTTTTCAATGGCTCAAAAGTCCATGGCGCTTCGAGAAACGTTGATCATCCGACTGATCATGCAACAGCCAGAACTATGAGCTGCACTGTATGCAACAATGTGAAAAGGGAGAACTCGAATCGTCAAGAAGTGGCTTTACCCTCGGATGAGGCTGCAACACGCTGGTAGAATTGACCCAAGGCTGCTGTGAGGGGTGTTCAATTTGCCCATGCAAAGACCATGCACGCCAAAAGTAAGTCGGCAAGCCGGGAGTCGCGCTGCTCGCTTCTGCCTAAGCAGACTAGGAATCGAATCATTGAATAGATTGAGAGAAACTACCAAGGTACGCACATCATATACAAACCTTTCATATTGAGCCATTTTAAGAGTTTCAGAGGCATTTCATCCAACCCAGCCATATCTAATGTAGATAACTATTCCATACATGGATGGTCCGGGCAAGACTGTGACTTCCAGTTTTCCTTCCAAAGC